GATATTTATTATTTGGTGATTTGTATATATTGTGCTATTCCTTATATCTTAACATATTGTATTGTTAAATAGGTTAGTCTATTTTTGTTAATGTTACTGTACTGGAGCAATTGTAATTGCTCACATAATTTCCCTAGGGATTAATAAAGTATGCTGATTCTGATATTAATGGGCTGTTTACCAAGGGCCTTTAGGCTAGCAGTACTACTTTTAAGATTAGGCTTAAAACGTTCCTTTTTGACAAAGCGCATTGCAAGGGCTAGATCAGGTGACCCTGAATCATCACATCATGGGAGTCCCCCAGGAGCCTAGGCCTCTTGCACTATAATTGATTGTTTCCTACTTCACCCTTTTCCCCACTTTATGTGTTTGTACACCACACATCATTTAATCAATAGTTGTTATTGACCTCTGGCTCTTTTCCACAGCGTGTTTTCGTTCTGTCTCCACTTAACAATATCCAGTTGTTGTAGATGGCCACCCCTCCATGACCCTGTCTACTTCCTGTTAAGATGGAGTTTTTCCTTCCCACTGTCACCAAAGTACTTGCTCATATGGGGTCATCAGATTGTTGGGCTTTCTCTGTACTTTTGTAATGTCTTTACTTTAGAATATAAAGAGTCTTGAGGGAACTGTTGTTATGATTTGGCACTATATCAATAAAAATGAAGTTGAATAATAGCTTTGTAGGAATAAATATTAGGAAGCTGCAGGCACTGGCACCATGACGTGGCACTGAAGAATATTACAGTGAATAAATTATTCAATTTAATTACAGCACATCAACTATATTGTTTTTTCGCCAGTGTTGTTTTTGAAATCTTTGCATTTAGCATTTCATTTTCTATTTTTATTTTTTGCAATGCAAGTTATGCAATTTATTTATTCAGTGATTTTAAAGACTTGTGTATACTTCCATAGACAGCCATTTGTACACACACGGCCAAAGTTTCATAGTTTCAAATTGTCATTTGTTCCAGTATGAAAAAATTCAGGTGCAAAAAATCAGATTTTTGAGTGTAATGTTTGTATGTCCAATTTATGCACAAATCTGTGCATAAATTGGACATACGCTCTGTAAGTTCAGGACAGCCATTGTCTGATGCATGAGCCAGTTTCAGCCAAGCCTTAGTTCTCATGTCGTCACTCCTTTATAAACACTATGGAAAGCTGCATCTCCATGATAGATGAGTTACTGAGTAGGATA